AGGCTGATTTCCACCCGGAACAACATCATGAAGCATGATGGGAACTCCCATACGCATGGTGAAGTCTAGAAGGGATACAGCTGTGGATACTCACATCAATATAGTGTAATTTTATTGACACTGTACAACAACAATAAACATTATTACATTACTGTGAGGTTCGGCTTTAGGGTAAACGTTAATAAAATACAATTTAATGGGTACTTTAATAAATAATATAAATAATTATCGTTAACTTCCAGTAGCAGCTGTATCTCTTTCTAGCGCACACGGACAAAAAGGTTTATAAATCGTTTCCTTTGTATTTCTATCGTACGTGGTGCGCATATTTATTACATATATTACACTAGGTATAGTTTTATAAATTATAATGCGCCTGATCTATATCATTTAAGACATATAGCAAAATCAGTCTGCTAGCCAATGAAAATGAAGGGCTTCGCCGAGGAGGATTGTGGGTAGGAGCTTACGCGCAGATATTTTTTATTTTACATCTGATAAAGGACGAAATAGCATTTATTTCAGACGCAAAGTGCTTAGCAATGCTATAAAGATTGTAATGCTGCAAAAACGTGCGTGTTGTTTAAGTCATCACTGTTTCATCAGAGAACACCGAACTCAAGATGAACTTTCAGCATCCAAGATATTATATCTACTTACAACTGGCAGCATCTTTAAATGGGTTAGTTTTTATAAGAGATGCAGTGTTATTGAATGAATTCGAGCTGGTAATCTGAAGAATTTGAGGCGTTGTTTTTCTCACCGAGTTTCTCAGCTGACGTCATCGCCTCACCGTCCTCTAGTTTGCTGTTGTCATTGATGGGGCTGCTGCCGAGCGCATGTTGAAGTTAAGACTATACTTTCAGGGATCATTTCTATAGTTCTTAACTAGGAAATGTGTTTCTAAAGTGTCGAGTCTCCCAAACCACGATGAAGAGTGAAGGTGCGTTCCTCTGAGCGTGAATCGGATAATAATCAATGGGTAAACCATGGATAATTATCATTGATGACCGTTCTACGGTTCTTATCGGACCTAAGAGGAGGAGTGCACGAACAGAGTGGTTCATTTATACAAGTGGTAACAATAGACTGAAAGTGAGAAAATAATTTCAATTGTCACTATCATGACAATTCAGAGAGCGTCCGCTAGCCCCTATCACACATACAAACCTTTTTGGAAAATTGCCGACAATTTTCCGGAAAAGTTTTATGTGTGAACAGGTTTTTTTTGAAAATACCGGTAAATTCGTTCAGGCTATTTTCCGGAAAGAGAAGTTGCAACATTACCGGCAATTTGCCGGAATGCTGCGCTGTGTGAATGCAGAAGGAAGATTACCGTAATAAGCGCGTGCACGTCTAGAACGTGCTGACGTGAGACTTATGCTTTAGCCAATCACAACAGTCAGACGCATTCGCGCGATTTATGAGAATAAAAGCCTTTGAATATTTTTTCCAGACACATTTAGCTGCTAGAAGTTAGTCAGATCACGTTTATATGTTCTACTTAATGTCAACTGTGTAAATAATCATCGATGAGATGCTTATGATAAGCCGTTGTTTGTTTACCATATATATTTATGATCATTCATAAGGCTTAAAACCCATCTAATATATGTGTTTTTTTTCCAGAGACCTCAGAGACCTCCGAGATGGCATTGCCGACACTCCGGATTGTAAATCCATCTGCTCCTCTGGACCGTCAGCAAGCCATTTTACAGGCGTCAAAGGAGGCCCGTTTGTACAGGGAGAGAAAGCTTAGCTTTGCTCTCCCACCGGCACAGCTCCTGAACGAACATGCTGCATTTAATCATGCAGAAAGGCTCCTTCGAGCTGAAGGAACTTTGGCTCCATCACGGCAGCAGTGTTTGGGAAAGCTGGTGCTACCTTTTGGCCAGTATGCCAACGCCCCATTCCACTGGCTGGCAGAAAATGATGTGGGCTACATGAAGTTGTAAGCACATGCCATTTTGTGTTTTATAAATTTAAGAACTACTAAAATTAGATAATATAGTTAACTTTATATTATATATAATGTCTATATTTATACAGATGTTTTCAGTCTAGTTTATTTTGCTATTTATTTGCTGTGCAATTGTTCAAATGTGTTTGCAGTGTGATCGA